AAGTCACCTCCTTTACTGCTGGTGCTAATGCTAAACATGTAATAATACTTTATTGTCATGAGCAGGAATCTGCTTTGCTAATTAAATGCAGCTGTCAGTAATTACTACTTGTCAGTGTAATCTATTTTAGGGAGCTCTACTTTAAATAATAAAAGATGGGCCTGATATTGAGAGGGTGGGATAGGCAAGGTGACCGCTTACTTCCCCGTCAGAAGCTCATTCTTTTTTCTTTCTTTTTTTAAATGACGAATGAGGGACTTCACTGTGAAGATGTCTTACCTGGCTTATTCTGTATTTCTTTAGTGCCTGAGTGCTAAAAGTTTGCAGTTAAATAGTTTGTAAAATATATCTGTAATCTAAATGTCACCCCCTTTTGTAATACCAACCAGGACGGCGACTCTCACAGTCAGTATGTCGTGATGGCAATCTGTAGGAAAAGCATCATGGTGAAGTCACTACAATCTCTACCATCAAATGCTGAGTTCAGTCTAAATGCACCTTCTAATTGCTCACAAACTGGATTAGACACGGAACATCACTTTGACAAATGGGGAGGGGGGTTAAGTAACTGTTTCTTGTATGCATTTTTCACTGATACCCGACCAGGTTTTTTCTAAGAAAATGCTTAGCATTCAGTTTAGGTCTTTGAAATGTGTAAATTTAAAAAATCATGTTTGCTTCTAATACTAATTTATCTTAACGGACTCCGAAATGAACCTCCAACTCCTTAATAGCTCCATAGCTGCATGACTAAAAGCAATGTCAGGGCAAGGGTAATGATGGCAGGCTGATCTGCTCCACGGGATAGGGATAGGTGCTGGGGTGCCACAGATGCTGGCAGAATCCAGGGTCTAAGGGGAGCAGACCTTTGCCCTCACCTCCCCTGACATTTAAAATGAAAGTGGTGGCAGTGGGAGGGGGAGGGCACTGGAGTCTCCAGGGGTGAAGTGATGGGGTGGTGGAAGGATCAATGGGGAAAAAATGAGCACAGCAGGGAGGATGAGGGAGGCTTGGCACACACGTGGCTTTACCCCACACAGGCCAAAAAGACTTATCACACCGCTCACAGCATCCTGACTGCCTCATCCTTCTTCTCCCACCATCTGGTTTATATCCAACACTCCAATAGTCCTCGTGTTGCTAGATAATTAATTATCTTGTTATAGGCCCCAACAAGTTTGGCAGCTACTCTTCTGAATACAGCACATTTAAATAGAATTAATAATTTGGGTGTTCATCCCAGGTGAAGGGAAAAAAAAGCTTTCCAGATGGAAAATAATTTTAAAAACACCTACCTAAATGTATTTTTCAAATATAGTCAGCAAAACACGCCAACACATTCCTTTTCCCAGTAAGCCTCCATTGGGGAAGGGATGCATAGTCCAGTGGGAATGGTATACATTCTCCCTTTTCCATGATATAAATTCTTATCTCCTTTACTGAGAAAATGGGGGTTATTCCAGATAGTTCTAAAAAGTAAATAAATAATAATTCCAAGTGATCAGCAACTCAGGCAAAGAAAGAACCCATTGAATAGCCATTGAGCTCCTTAAAAAGTAACATTTATTCAAAGGGAAAACCCAAGAATATACACATGGATAGTTGTGAAAGTTTTTTACGTTTATGGGTTCTAACAACCACAATGTCAGTGCATCTTTAAATCGCCTATTTTATGCAGAACAAAGGCTTTTCAATCAGCTGATCATTTTCCTGGAATATAGTAGGTGTTCAATGAATAGCTGCTGAATGTATGAGTAATGATTTTGAACACTGTCATGATATGGTTTCTTGCTGCCCACTCCAGTTGGTTGAAGCTGGTATTACTTGGTGGCAAGAGTTTAACAGCAGGGCCAAAGGTATGGTTATTGTTTAAATACTATATTAAATGTATTAATGTTTTTAGAAATAATGCACTATATTTTGTATATTGTTTTTAAGTAATAATATATTTTCATTTTTGAAAATAATTTTTATTTTTTTGTATGTAGGGTCATTCACCAGGGAATGACAACACATATTTCAAAAATGCTGGCTTTTAAATATATTAATTAACAGGCCATTTCCATTTCTTTTGTACTTTTATGGGTTCTTAATATGATTTTTAATATTATTATCATATGTTATTAGCAATTTTGTGTGTGTGTGTGTGTGTGTATGTGTAAGTTTATTGAGTTTTCCAATGTGGTGATGGTGAAATAATTTCGTTTCATTTTTACTTCAAATCTTAAAAGAGGAAAACTGATTTTTATATCACTATAAGCAGATACTCACAATTGGTTAGGTATGTTTCCTGCTTTATAGGGGAGAAGTCAGCTTAAATAGGTAATATGATTATTAGATATATTTAAAATAATTTGAATAGAAGAAAAACTCAAAATGAGCACATGGACTTTTATGGAACTTTCTGACGCTTTCTGAGTCTTGCAGGTAGAGAAAAAATAACTACCTAGTTCCCTATAGACCATTATTAGAGAAATGGAGACTTGAATCTACTCTTAAAAATTAAAGTCTTCCTAGAGCAGCCGTGGGCAAACTATGGCCCGCGGGCGGAAGCCGTTTGAAATGAATAAAACTAAAAAAAAAAAAAGACCGTACCCTTTTATGTAATGATGTTTACTTTGAATTTATATTAGTTCATACAAACACTCCATCCATGCTTTTGTTCCGGCCCTCCGGTCCAGTTTAAGAACCCATTGTGGCCCTCGAGTCAAAAAGTTTGCCCACCCCTGTCCTAGATGGATGCTTACTATGGACACTTAGAAGACTGGAGAAGAGGGGAGATGGGGAATGAAGGGTGGGAAGCAAGTTCTCCCCGATCACTGGCAGAACTAGGTCTTCTCCCTCATGCTCTGTGCTCACACCAGCTTCTCTCCATCATCTAGTACGCTGAACACTACCTGTTCCTTTACCAGCTGGCTTTGCTCTCGAGCTTGTAAGTTTCTTGAGGGCAAGGACAAAGTCATTTATATCCTCAACACACTTCCTGGTACACAGCAATTGCTCAATAGTGTTTACTGAAATAAACAAGTGGCAAGAAAAAGGCAGGTAAACATTAGCAAGGCAGAAGGGAGAATAAGATGATTATTTACTTCTCCAATAGAACTGTATTTAGTGCTTCCTCTATTCCAGACACTATGCTAGGCAATGAGGATATTGACAGTGATGTGGGTCGTGGTTGGTGGGCTACAAAGGGAAGGGGTAAGAAAACAAAGAGAAGTGATGAGGAAGAGAAGTTAGACAAACAGAGAGCACTTTCGGCAGAGGGCCAGCGTGTGCAAAGGCGTGGAAGTACGAAATAGCATGCTCTGTTCCTTGCTTGGCATCTACCAAGTGTTATGCACTTTGTGCTGGAGCAACAGGAGGTGAGTCCCAGGCTGGGCCATTGGAACAATAATGGCTTCGAAGGCTGAGGTAGTTTGCACTTTACCTGGAAGGCAAAGGATGCCGCAGGCTATTAAGCAGGGACGTTACAGGAGGAGGCTGGCGTTTGGGAAGAGTTTTAGAAGCACTGATGACATTGGAGACCTGAAGCTAAGAAGGAGGCTAGTGCCATCGGGTGAGTTCTGACGACCTGAGCTTCAGCAGTAGCAATGGGGTGGTGGGAAGGGAGGTGTTAGGAGGCAGGGTTTTCGTGTCTTGGTGCCAGACTAGAGGAGCAGAAGGAGAAATACAAGATGACCCGTAGGTACCTGTGTCCCTACTATGATCCTTGTAACTACATATTCTTGGTTGCTCACTTTTCTTGAGTGTATGGACAGATGATGTTGCCAACACAGAATAGCAAAATAACATAAACTATTTGAAAAGAGGTAACATTAGAAAAGTAATAATGTATACAAATGCTCAAGCCCTTGATCTTATGTTGGTAAGTACAGAGTTGAGAGTTCCTTATTAAAAGGATGCCAGTGTTTATGGAATTCAGAAACCCCTAAACTAAATACTGTTAAAGTAAAACTTGTCTAGTCAGTGGACCAAGTATGAGAATAAGATAAATACCTGATTAAGAAAAAAATAATTCCATCTGTAGAAAATCAGGCAATCATAATTATAGCTAATATTTATCATTTTATGATGTGCCAGGTACTGCTACCAGGACAATGGGAATAATGTTCTTGACTTTAAAGAGTCAGTTATCAGGATTAAGTGGTCACTGCACATCTAGTCACACTTTGGGAACAGAGGGCTAAAATGAATGTGAAATAAAAATACTGGAATGAAACTAAGTATTCCTACTAGCTAGCAATCCATGTGCTGGCCCACCATCTCCTCATACACCCTCATCTGTCCTGTTTTCTGCCTCCACCTCCGCCTGACATCCCCCCTGTGGAATCCCTCAGCTCTCGGCTGTCCAGACTGAGATGTCCACAGGAAGAAGCTCTGTGTCTGCCCCATGATACCACACGCCACAGTGCCAGGAAATAAAGGCGACAGGACAAACTAACATAGAGGAACATTAGTTTCTAAGCTCTCCACGTCTGCAAAGTGAGGATAGCTGGGTGGCTACCAGAATTAAATGTTATCCCCCCAAAAAAAACCCAAAAAACTAAGAATAAAGTTAAATTTAACCTTTTAAATCAAGTTACTCAAATTTAATTACCAGAGTTAGGAAATAGATTGTTCCTTGAAGCCATGCATTCTATGTGGTATAAAAATATAAAAGAGCCCGGCTGGTGTGACTCAGTGGATTGAGCATTGTCCCATGTACCAAGAGGTCACCAAATTGATTCCTGGTCAGGGCACATGTCCAGCTTATGGACTTGCTTCCCAGTAGAGGGAGTGCAGGAGGCAGCCAATCAGTGTTTCTCGCTCATCAATGCTTGCGCGCTCTCTCCCCCCACACCCCACTCTCTCCCTTCCCCTTCATCTCTATCTAAAAAAGTCCATAAAATATATATATATACTAGTATATATGAGAAAGAAATTTTTATGTATCCTAATACTTCAACCAACTCATATTAGTTATATAGATAAATATAAATGTTTCAATGCTTTTAGCAAACCTTTTGTTCTTCCCCATTAGTCATATCTGTATAAGATGATACATCTTCCAAAGACTTGTGTAAGCATGTTCAGCTGGGCCCTATAAGAAAAAATTGTGAAGTGGCTGTCGCAAAAGTCTCCTCTCAACTTCTGTGCTTGACACAGGCCTTTAAATCAAGTAACACTTGAATCAAGCTTAAGTCTGTAACATGCATTTCTTCTCTTCATATCTTTCCCTTAACAGTCAGAGAATCCACAGAACATATGCTTTATAATGGAGTACAACCAATTCTCATAGATAGAAGGTAGCTAGATCTTATTTATGGTGAGGCACATTAAGAATTACTGTGATTTTTTTCATTGACTTGAATTAGCTATGGCAAAGAGCATTACAGTGGCATTTTCATGTGTTCAAAAAAAGTTCCCCAAACTATACTCAAATAGTAGATTGTTAATATTTATGACAGCACGGTTATGCTATTTATTTGGCAGTGTAAGGATTCTGTTACTTAGTGTTAATTATATCTTATGTGCCATTTTAAAATAAAACGTACAATTACAGACAGTTTTCCTTTTGCCGACTTCTAAACTTAAACATTTTAATCAGTTGATTATTTCATCATTTTTCTACCTCAGGTCCTTCACTCTCATGAAGATTATTATTATTCCACAGGGTTTCATAGATAGTAATGTCCTAAGACCCTCATGAAAAGGGAAACATTCTATTCAATATTAAATCACAATCTTAAAACTATGCAATTATAAAGACATTCAAAGTTTCTTGACCTCTGGAGTAGCAACTTCTAGAATACTTCCCTTCAGGGCATGCAGTAAACATTAATTGGATGCCTGCTGTATGCCATGTGGGTCAGAGCAGAATCGGTCTCATTTCACACTTTCATATACAACTTTGCTGGTCCTTTTGACAAGTACCATAGCGTAACATGTAACACTGACTTCTGTGCAAGAAGTTCACCTTATAAGGATATTATGGGAAGCATAAAACATCCAGTACCAGAACCTCTGAGCTATTAAAACTACTTAAATATGGCATCAGTTCTTAAGTTACCTAATTTAAAAGTAGCTGAATCTCAGAAAATTATTGAGTCCATTAAAACTACATTAAGTTATCGCGCTGTTCTAGTACCGCTCTAGTTCAGGTTATGTTGGGCTGCGTGGCGATCGCCTTCCTTAGGAATTCCCTAAGAATTCATTCTGAGTGCCTGGCTGGCATGGCTCAGTGGTTGAACTGGGAGGTTACGTGTTCGATTCCTGGTCAGGGAACATGCTCATGTTGTGGGCTCCAGCCCCACTGTGGGGCATGCAGGAGGCAGCTGATCAATGATTCTCCCTCATCATTGATGATGTTTCTATCTCCCTCTCCCTTCCTCTCAGAAATCAGTAAAAATATGTTAAAAAAAAAAAAAAGAATTCACTCTGAAAACCATCACAAATCTGTTACTAGAATGCATTTGCTTTACAACTTAACTCACTCCCCACTTGGATCCTTATTCAAGTAAACTTTAAAAGTACCTGTGGAAGAGCAGTGGCATAGCCTAGTGGGCTGTCTGGGCTCTAATGGAAGCCCTGTTGTTTATTAGCTGTGGAGGCGAGCCATTTATTTAGGCTCACTTTCCTCATCTAAACAGGGATAATAATAGTACCTACTTACTTCCTCTCGTGAAGTGGGGGCTAGCACGGTGGCTACCAGAATTAAACTAGTTAATATTAGCAGAATTCTTAGACAGTATCAGGCACACATTAAAGGTTATCATATGGGTTTCTTACATAAGTTGTTCAAAAAAGTTTAGTATAGTCTCAATTTTTAATATCAAACTAGTTGAGCATTTGTAAGTACTATTATTAGATGACACTGAGTTCACAAATCACATAGGTCACAAAAGAGACTCTCTTCCTATTTGTCAAAGTTATCAGACAAATACAGATATAGATATATAAACATAAATAAATACACAAACATTATCTTCTATATGTATAAGCGTATGTATATACATACACAACATATCTGACTCCCATGAAAAATCTAGGTAAAGTGGTCTAAAGTCAAACCAACTAGTCAACCATTTCTTAATACTAACAGCTTTCTTTCATAGAAGTTTTTAAGATGATAGAAAATAATCTATTGTACCACATATTAATTAAATAAGACATAAATAATGGAATTTGCATATTAGATTCAGAGATGTTCATTTATCCTGCCTAAACATTATGTGGATCTTCAGGTATCTTTTGCTTCTGCTTTTGATAAGTTGTTAGCTGCTCTGAAATGTTTTTGAGTAGATTAGTGATGCTTATGTGTACTTAATAATATCGTCCTTTAACTGTACTTTTGCTATAAAGGTAAGGATAACATCATGACTCAGGAACAAAAACTGATCTACATTGAGAAAAAATATTTCAATAATTAAATTGGATTCTAGGAAAAAAAAACTTTTGCTGGTTTTAAAAACTCATATTAAATTCACAGAAAAAAAGTAAAATGTAGGGTTTCTCTAAATAGTGATGATTTAGGTCATAATGAAAGTTTAACTAGTTATTTTGGTTTTGAGATCTCCCTTCAAAGACAGGACTTAGATGAAGATAAATCTGTGATCTGAATAATTATTCCCTTAACTTGAGTTATTCTCTTTTCAAACTTTTACCTTTTCTTAAAGCAAAACTAACTATAATTCCATTACTAAACTATAACTCCTCATGCAATTGCAATAATGTCAGAATATGAAAATATTTGAAAAAAGTGTTTAAAAATTCAAAAACATCTGCATATAAAGACCAATAAAATATATAAGTATTCATTTCATTTCAATCGTACAAACCTAGCATTACTGCTCGTACTCTATTCCCAGAGTTTTCAGCATCATTTTTTAGCAAGCATTCCTCTTCTGCCGGCTCCCTTAACTAGGAAGTTACCTTGAAAGTTATTTCATTCATGAATAAAAGTCTCTAAAATGAAAGACCATCCGGCCAGACATATCAAAAGAGTCAAGGAAAATTCTCCTCAACTAAAATTTCCATAAGATATTTCCATTTGTCTAGAAAATCCTAAATAACCATTTTTGCTAACTTGATGATTTACATAGGAGAACTGCACTTTTAAGGGATGTTACTGTTTCCAAGATTATAAAGAGATAAGAAAAGGAGCAAAATGTTTGTTGTTTCCTGTGAATTTGAGTTTGCTTTTTTAATGTAACAGGAATATTTGCATTTACTCATAAATGAATACTACTGACATATACAGATCGGGCACTGTTCCACAGAAGTCAGACACAGAGAGCTAGAGCAATGCACAGATAGTTATGTTTCTCCAGAGTATTCAGACAAAGAGCAAGAAGATTAAAGTCAGTGTCAGTTCTCTGAAGTTGAGTCATATCTAAATGATGTGATGAGTTAAGAATATTGGTGGGATTTATGGGGAAAGAAAGTTGGCGGATTGACATCTGTATGATTTTTGAATCAAGGACTCTCTGTTGGCCACCTACTTTGGGCAAGATGCTGCTTCCCTGAGTAAGCCACTGCTCTGCAGGCCTTTTTACACAGTGTAGGAGTAAGTATCTTGCTGCTACTGAAAATCCTTTCTTGTTTAAAATAACACCCAGCTCAGCTTTGCACATTGTGTGTGCTCATGTGTTCAATAAATACTTTTTGAATGAGGGAAAATTCAGTGAGTAAGAAGGTTATTCATTCAAAAGCATCTGTGTATGCCTGCAAAATGGTAAGGACAATGATGCAGGCATAATCAGCACACTGTAGGCAGCACCTTCTCACAAAGATCTCAAAGGAAGCAACTTCCAACGCTGAAATCTAAACAGGAGGTCTGGTTTAACCTGGCAACCACGATCCTAGAACTTCTGTGAAACTCCACTGAATACTATGCTTATAATTTCCCAGATAACCTACTTTGTGCATCTATTTGAATATATCATTTTACATGGTTAATGTGTCTATAGATTTTTATTAATGGAGAAAAGACTATTTAAAAACAGTGGAGAGTAATTTGAAAGGGGCCAGAGCAGTTTTCCTTTCTTCACTGTTAAAATTCCCTGCACTGGGAGGCAGTTAAATGTAAGCAACAGTTTCCTTCCCATCATTATGTTGCTTGTAACATCCTTGTGTGTCTCCTTCAAGTCACCGGTGAGCGAGCCACTTCACATTCCTAGAGAAGCCTCCCTGGCTGCTCACTCAGTCCCCGGAAGCAAGGACCATTTGTACACACACACAGGGAGGAAGGTATGTAGTATTGTTTTCCTTTCTCCTTTTAGGGGCTTCACTAGGAAAAACCACCAGGATAACTTAAAAAAAAATCTGCTACATCCCACATAATTGATACCAATGAAAAACATTTTAAAAATAGTTTTGCTATCCAAATTTGTAATCGCCTTATCTTCTCAACTTTTTACTTGGCATAGAAGTTGAATAGATTTGAAATAAACTGTAATGGGGAAACATTTGTCAAAAGCCCTGGAATATGTCAAGACTACTGAGCAAAAGCTCTCAGAAGCACCAGCTCTGCTTCACTTCCAGCAAGGCAGTCTAGAAAGGAGCAACCATTCCAGAGAGGACGCCCACCCGCTCCCAATCCCACACCAGCCCGACCCCGCATGCGATTTATCCGACTAAGTTCACATACACCAGAGAAGAGCTACAGTGCAATGAAATGCATCCACGAAGTCATATGATATGAAGCACTTTGCAAATATTAAACTTCCCCTGAAGGGATCACCGTTTCCCATGAAGAAGCTGGTGCTGAGGAGAGGGAGGGAAGTTGGGAGGAGGACCGACCTACCGGGCTAGGACCGGGGGAGAGCAGGGATCTCAGCAACCGCTCCCTTGGGTCGGTGCCCTGAAGCGCTCAAAGGAGGGAAGCCGGAGAGCAGAGCCCCCCAAGTTGAAGTGACTGGAGTTCCGGCTGAGGGTAGCTCGCTGCGCGCCAGGAACGCCAGGTAGAGGCATCCACAGGAGGCTGGGCGCTCCTTCCTCGCTTCCCCAAAGCAAGGCTGCCGCCCAAGTTCCAGGAGCAGGACTCTGAGAGCGCCAGCCAGAAGCCAAAGCGACCTCGTGCACCTCTGAGTAATAACAATGTGACCACCCCTCGATGGCATCCAACTCCGGAGAGTGTGTGTGTGTGTGTGTGTGTGTGTGTGTGTGTGTGTGTGTGATGGGTGGGACGGGTTGCGTGGACTAGGGGGCGGGGACTGGGGCTTGGAGGGGTGGAGGCCAGATGGGGAGAATACACCCCATCTTTCACGTTCACTGAGCCTCTGCCTGACCTCTGCCTCGGACCTCGCAGACACCCACCTCCCCCAAAGCCGTCTCGCATTGCAGGCGGCAGCCCTCCAGCCACCCCGGGGAAGTGGCCAAGCGCGAGCCCCCAAACTCTGGCGAGTGCCATTCAACGCGTGTTGCCTCTCAAAGGGCACAGAGCGCTGCACCCGCCTCTGGAAGAGACACGAACTGACACCGATGACTCTGAATTCACCCCAGGAGGCGCCCCGTCGTTTCCCATCCCGCACTAGTTTAACGCAGAGACCCGGCGAATGTCTCAAAAGTCTTTCCAGGCAGTGCCCGGCACTGCCGAGCCTCACCAAAGTACTTGGGCTGGCATCGCCTGGGTGTCTCTCCTGGTCGATTCCCGCCCCCCACCCCCCCATCTCACTTCCCCCCAAATCTACCAGCTTCCAGCCCACCGTGTTAGAGCCCTTCCCTGGCGCGGAGCGGGCGGCTCGCAGGGCTTACCGTCGTCCCAGGCGGTGGCGGCGGAGGCGCGGCGGGAGCCCAGGGCGCGGGCAGGTGGCGCCGGGCCCCGGCGGCTCTGGCAGTCCCTGCGGCGGTTGGGCCAGTAGTTTTGGCTGCCCGGGCTGGCGCGGCGGAGAACGAGCCGCGTGAATGCGAGCGGGAGAGCGGGCTCTGCGTGCGCGCCGGAGAGTCCGAGGCAGGCGGGCCCCGCGCGCCGGCGGCGATGGCAGCGCGATGGCGCGGGCCGGGCCGGGCGCCGGCAGGAGGCGGAAGCGGCGAGAAGTGCGCAGCGGAGTTTAGGGAGCGATCCCCGCGCTGCCCCGGGAGACGGGAGCCAGGTGCGGCAGGGCGCGCTCCCGCGGCGCGGGCACGGCACGGGCGGCCGCCGGAGCTCGTGTCCGCGCGGTGCCGGGGCCCGCAGCCGCTCGGCGGGAGGAGGGGCGCATCCTTCTCGCCCCGCACGGGCACCGGCGCGTCTGAGCGCGGAGGGCAGAGTCTTTGGCGTCCCCGGCGACAGTTCCTAGGGCAGCCTGCTCCCTCCTGATTCGCCCCCCCAAAAGCAACGATCCGCTGGGTTCTTCCCTTCCCGGGTCGGAGCCACCGGTGCCAAGCTGTGCGGGCTCCCCGCTCCCCGCGGCTGACGCTGTCACGGCCGCCGCCCGGCCCCCGGCGCGCCCCAGCCGGCAGCTGCCTCCCAGGGACGTGCCCAGCTGTGTGTGCGCGTGTGTGTCTAAGCGAATCTCTTCCCCTCCATCACTCGGCGCGCGGGAGGGACCGGGTCCCCGGCGACCAGCTGCGGAGTGGCTGCCAGTCCACACCCTCGGGGCTCTCTCCCCACCCTCCCCGCCCCTACTCCGGCTCGTCCTCTCCCTGCGTTCCCAGCTCCTCCTCCCGCTGCCGCTCCCCGGCTCCCAAAGGCGGGGGAGAAACCTCCACGTCCAGGGCCGGGAAGGGTGGGGAAAGATGCGCAGGTGTCTTCCTGGGAGAGGTGGGCGCACACACCCGAGCGCTCCCTGCGGGGGTGGGCAGGGTTTTAGGCAGGGAAAGGGGAGGAGAGGATGTCACCGGAGGTGGAGGTCCTGAGGCTGAGCCCCACGCGTCCTACCCAGGTGCGGGAGCCGCGGGCCAGCTGCACGGTGTGTGTGTGTGTTGGGGGGGGGGCTGCCCTCCAGCCCCACCCCCAGGTGGATTGAGGTCGTGGCCTGGAGAACCCGCGGAAGTGACCTGAGAGGCAGAACCTGGGGACATGGAAGTCCGAGGGACTCCATCTCTGAGTTGTTGAGATCGGTCTCTTTGGGGTAACGGGGGCCTGCGCCTGGAGCTTGGGGGCACACAGGTGTCCAGGGATCTGGTGTGTGGCTCCAGCTTGCCTGGCTGGAGAGCTGAGTCTGAGGGTTTGCGGGATGGCAGCGGTGGCTCTCAGGCTGCTGTGTGCCTCCGGAGTCGCAGGGGGCGATCACCGCCTAGCTGGGAAGCGGAGATCTGGGCGTTTTTCCAGGTCCAGATCCCGAACTCACCTTCCCAATTCAGTCCAGGTCCCTCCTACCCCTTACTCCCAGCAAACACAATGGGCCCGGGGGCTCTATGAACTAGTTGGTTACTGTGCTCATTGCCTGGTGGAAAGGATCCCGCCTGATCTGAGACTAATGGGCTGCTGCTTCTCCCAACTCCAGCCCCCTCCTTTATTTGATAAAGTTTTTCCCTGTGGAGTTTCCTAAAAAGAAACCTTTTTTTTTTTTGGCTGTTGAGGTATCAGGTCTCTATGTAATTTCACAATTAAATGCAATACACAGGAACGTCCTTTAGGCGGGGAATCACAGCGCAAATGCTTATGACTGCTGCCTGTTTTCAAACGACAGTCTTAGAAGGCAGAGTTGAGTCAACCCCACCCCCACTCTGCCCCACGGTGGGTGGAGCGGACGGTCCATTTAATCAGAGGTCTGTTAGAATGATCCCTGGAAACAACCCTAGAAAGAATTGTGGTGCTTTCTCTAGTACCCATTTCTTTTTATTATGGTAATTTCACTGTTAATTTAGGCAATCTGAAAATGAAAGGTCTGATACAATCGGCAAGGCACAATATTTCTAGATTCTCAGTCAACAGCCAGCCAGTCCACCCCCCCCCTCCCCTCCGCCTCCGCCGCCCCCAACTCTCACCCTGACATCCAAAGGTCTGACTCAGAGTTCCTAGCACTTTTTAAATTTCAGGATACAGCCGGAAGGACAAAGCTGTTGAGTTCTAGAAAGAGATAACTTAAATGTAAGTAAACTTATTTACCAACTACTCAGACAAAATCAGAAGCTCAGCGGCAGCAACAAAATGTATCTTGTTTAATGTATTGAATTGGAGGAAGATGGCTGTTTGCCAGATATGTGATCCATTAACCTCTTTAGCTCATTGTTGGCAACAATCGCATACAATCACATCCTTATGTTTGAAAGACAAGGGTTGTTTTTTCCCATCTCAAAATCACAATGCCACATCATAGTCTAAAAGAAACCTCAAACAATAAAAGTAATAAGAAAGGAAGAAACATAATTTGCTTCTTTTTTTCTGAACAAATGTTGCTGTTCTGTTTTTCTTGAGGGGGAAAATGCTGATAAGCAATAAAGTCCACAAAGGCATGACAGTAGATTTTGAAGAATGCCTCATTCCATCTATCAGTCCTTTTAATTAGTAAACTTTATTTAAAATGTTTATAGTATCTTTTTCATGGTATCTCTGTCTTCCATTGGGTCAGGAAGATTACTGAGAAGGACAGTGGGGTGGGATGAATCTGGTTTCTCATATTTCTGTCCTGCTTGAGGTTTAAGTCTGGCAGGAGAGGGACATTCAGCAGCCCAAGCTTTCTCAGCAGTCCTAACCTCAGAGGATCATTAGCTCTCCTTCGTAGCTGATGAAGAGGGAGATTGTCACAGGGATTTTGCCTAGCTTGTGAAGATCACACCTGGGGCTGAGAGTAGGTACCAACCAAGAAACTGAAGCAAAGCTCTGGAGGGTTTCTACCTTGCCTATGGTTGGAGGATTAGATCAGGATAGATGCGCCCCACCCCCACCCCTTTTTTTTGGATGCTGTTGTTCTATCTACACCCACAAATGACCTGGCATCTTGTTAGGTGAAGTGCAAAGATGAGTGGATGAGGTCTGACATCTTTAGTAGAAACATTTTGGTATTGTGCTAAATTAAATAAAAGTAAACACCAAAGTGGCAATCCAAAAAATCTTTTCTGAAATGCACTTTTGAAAACAGTCACAGATTCAGTGGTTTTGTTTAGTCACCGAAGCCAAATGAAGTGCACAATAATGAAAACATTTGGTTATTCAGAGTGTTCATTTGGTGAAAAAAAAAAAAGAAAGAAAAAAATTTCCCCCAAGCGTCATCACACTTTCTTGTTTCATAAAGATGTGTAACTGTTAAATATTACTCAGCTTGCAGTTTCAAATGGAGACTGTTCTCTCACTTAACTATGGAAGTGTTTGTCATTATTAGAATAGAATGGAGGTAGCAGACTTATTTTCCATTTTTTTTTTTTTTTTTTTTTTTTTTTTTTTTTTGCTTCTAAACAGCCAATCACTGACATCTAGATTCACTTGGATTGGCAAATATTCATTGAAAGGACCAGAAACCAAAAGGTGACTAAAAGAAATAGGGCAAGCTTAGTAATTACTAGGGTTATCAGGCTGACCTGGAGTCCTTCCCATATACAGAAATGAACCCATACACCTACCTCTCCATGCTGCATCACTGTACTGAAGTATCTCTTGTATGAAAGAGGCTTAAAAGTGTAGGGCCATACCTGATTGTAAGGGAAGCATTGCTTATAGAGGAGGTGGTCCACAGATCGGATGTCACAAACTATGAGGATGGAAAAGAGGATTTAAGATCTCTCTAGGTCTAGACCAGTACAGGCCAATAGAAGTGTAATATAAGATACAAATATAAGCCACATATGCAATTTTAAAATACTATATTCATCAAAAAGTAAAAGTAAACAGGTGAAATTAAATTTCATAGTGTATTTTATTTAACCTAAAATATCCAAAATATTATAATTTCAACATATGAGAAATATAAAAACTATTAATGAAATATTTTTCTTTTTTATTATTATTTTTTTTTGATGGGCAGAATGACTCTCATTTCCTACTCCCTGGGACCTGTGAATATGTTACATTACATGGCAAACCGGACTTTGCAGATGTAATTAAGGTTAAAAATAGAGCCCAAGCTAGTTTGTCTCAGCGGATAGAGCATAGGCCTGGGGACTGAAGGGTTGTGAGTTGGATTCCGGTCAAAGGGCACATACCTTGTTTGCTGTGTGGGAGGCAACCAATTGATGTATCTCTCTCACATTGATGTTTCTCTCTCTGTGTCTCTCCCCCTCCCTTCCATTCTTTCTAAAAATCAATGGAAAAATATCTTTGGGTTAGGATTAACAACAACAACAAAAGATTAAAAATAGAGAGATTGTCCTGGATTGTTTTAGTGGGCCCAATCTAATCACATGAGTTCTTAAAAGCAGAATATTTACTCAGCCTAGAAGCAGAAGAGATGGACAGAAAGAGAAGTCATAGAAATTTGAGGCATGAGAACAATTCAACATGCTGTGTGTTTGGTTTAAAGATGGAGGGGCCAATATGACAAGGAATGCAGGAGGTCTTCGGGAGCTGAGAGGAGCTGCTGACTGGCGGCCAGGAAGGAACTGGACCTGCCCTACACCACAGGAACAGAATTTAGCCAAAACCTGAATGCTTTCAGGCCTGCAGAGAAGAATGCAGCCTTACTGACACCTTGATTTTGGCATTAGGAGACTCTAAGCCAAGGGCTCAGCTGAGCCCCACTTCTAGACTACGGAACACTGAGATAATAAATGGCTGTTTCAAACCACTAAATTTATAGTAACTTTTTTTTAAAAGAAGCAATGGAAAACTCATGCACGTGCCAAGTCTTGAAACCTGGTATTACTCTTGCAGCCCATTTCTATTTGGATATCCTGGCCACATTTCAAGGATTCAATAGCCACACATGGCGAGTGGCTACTGGATTGGACAGTGTAAGCCTAGCCAAGAGGAGTCAATATGTCCAGGAAGTGCTAGGTTTGTAGGCTAAATATTATGGCATTATGTGGAGAGAGAAGAGGATAGAAGGGAGGAACTTGGCAAGATCTTTCTAGATTCTTCATTCTTCCCCCATGTGAATGGGTGGTCTTGCTCAGACAGAAAACAAGCCAAATCTTTCAAGTCAGATTGTCCAAGTTCATTGGACTTTGATACATTTGCTTTTATTACATTCAGACTATTAATAATGTCTTTTTTGAATATTTCATATATTTCATCTTTGTCTCAATTAAGTTTTAGAGCAATTAAGAAAAGAGTTTTTGCTTCCACTTGAATTTATGCTTAAGATTGAGCATCAGTCATTTAGTTCCCATATTATAGAGGGAGCGACAGTGGGCAAAGGTAATGATGAAAGGTCTACAGGAGAAGAGTTATATGGATTGATTCAGCATTCCTAGGAAGGCTGTTCCTCCCTATCAATGTTAAAATGCAAATTCAACTGAATAAATTTGAAGATCTAATTGGCTTTATTAAGTGACTTATGGATTGGGCAACATCCTATATAGCAACTAGCAGGGCACTCCTAGGAGTTGTATAAAATGTAAGGTTTTTATAGGAAAGAAGGTAAGGAAGCTATCAACAAAAGAAAATAAGAATCATTTTACATCTTCCTTTTGGGGGAAGGGAAAGGCAAGGGTTTCTATCATGCAGAGTACCTCTTCTTTGGGGGTGGGGGAATTGAGGGAGAGGACCCACATGA